TGATCCAAGTGGCCTGCCACGCTTTTTGCGCATAGAAGAATCATTTGCAAGAGATTTTTCAAAATTCTCTGTTGGAATTTCGATTCTGGCAGGAGCATTCATAGCAGGAATATGTGACTTTGTCACTTTCTTTGTATCTGTGAATGCATCAGGCAACTGATTTGCAACATTTTGTAAATGGATTATCTTTTGCACCTCTTGCTCACATATATTTGATCTGAAATCAAGGTGTGATAATCTTGTTGCATTCCATGTTATTTCTTTCGTACTTGGGTCCGATTTATTAGTTTCTCCCCCTAAGGTTGGGAATACTGTCTCATTGAAATGACAGTCAGCGAATCGTGCGGTGAATAAGTCACCAGTCATCGGTTCAAGATATTTGATTATTGAGGGAGATTCAAATCCAACATAAATTCCCAACCTTCTTTGAGGACCCATTTTTGTACGATGAGGTGGAGCAATTGGAACATAAACAACACAACCAAATATTTTTATGTGTGCTAAGTTTGGCTCTTGTCCAGTAACTAATTGCATTGGGGAATATTCATGATATGCAGTCGGTCTAAGCCGAACTAAATTTGCTGCATGTAAAATAGCATGTCCCCAAGCTGATGAAGGTAAATTACACTTCATTAATAATGGTCTGGCGATTAATTGTAATCGTTTAATCAAAGATTCAGCAAGACCATTTTGTGTATGGACATGAGCAACAGGGTGTTCCACATCAATCCCAATCGACATACAATAGTCGTTAAATGATTGAGATGTAAATTCTCCTGCATTGTCAAGTCGGATTCTCTTTATAGAATGATCCGGAAAATGAGCTCTTAATCGTATGATTTGAGCAAGGAGTTTAGCAAATGCTAGATTTCTAGTCGATAACAGACTGACATGTGACCAACGTGTTGAAGCATCAATCAACACCATAAAATATCGAAATGGTCCACATGGTGGGGCTATCGACCCACAAATATCTCCTTGAATCTTTTCTAAAAATGCAGGTGATTCAGTTGCAATTTTGTTCATAGAGGGCCTGCTGATCATTTTGCCAAGAGAACAGGCCTTACAAGGAAAATCCCTTGATATTGGAACCCTTATATTCTTTAATGAGTGTCCAAGTGAAGTCTTAATGATTTTATGTATCATTACATGGCCTGGGTGACCTAAACGGTCATGCCACAACATGAATATTTTCTGATCATCTAACTTTGTGTTAGAAACCAAATTTATTTCAAATGGACTAATATATGTGAAATATAGTCCTGAGGAATATGCTAGCATTTTTTCACAAATATATTTAGTGCCAGATTTAGTTGTTGTAAGACAAATATATTCCTTTTGGTTTTCATTCATGGTTTCTATGTGATAACCATTTTGACGCATATCTTTAAAGCTTAATAAATTCCTCCGCGATTTGCTGGAGTATAAAGCGTCATTTATAATTATTTTGGTCCCGTTAGGGAGCATCACATATGCTTTCCCAGAGCCTTCAATGAGCTTCGCAACACCTGATATGGTATTGACTTTAGCCTCAACTAAAGTCATTTGAGAGAAATATATTTTATTTCTCAAAATGGTGTGCGTTGTGGCGCTGTCTATCAGACATAGCTCTTTATCATTTGAGTGATCCATATCTTCAAAATGTGTAAATAAACATAAGCTTGATCACAAATTGTGCATATAATTTAACATAAAGTACATATATTACACACATTTATTTTAAAAAAAAACAAAAGAAAAAGGGAAGAAAGAAAAAAAAAATACATAAAACTAATATGTTACAACATAAGGATCGGAGTCTAATATTTTATTTTGTGACATTTTGGTTTATTGCAAAAGCATCGTCCATAATGGCATCATCCGCGAAAAAGTCGGACACGTCAAATTTTGGCATCATTCTAAATTACTTCTTCTTAACCTCTGAATATTTTCTGAATTTCTGAGTTAATTTACAAGGCATCACCAAACCCCTATTTATACTGATTGAGCTTGGTGATGAATCATCAAAGAGTAATTCTACATATTTTGCTGGCAACATTAAAACTAGCTATCTGTCTATCTATGATTACAAGGATGAAAACTAGATTAGTGTCCTGATGACAAGGATGAACAATTCACACTTGTCATTCTCAGGAATTTACAACAGTTCTAATTTATAAAGGATAACTAGTTATATACAGAATTGTTATGAATAGGGGTGGGCACGGGATGGAACGGGGCGGGAATTAGACTATCCTGGTCCCGAACCCAATTTAGGATAACGGGACAGAACGGGACGGGACGAGATGTTGTCCTGCTATTGTCCCTTTTAAATCGGTACCGGAACAGAACGGGATGGTTCGGGACATCCCAAAAAATTGCAGCGAAAAAAATACAGCTCCAAAAAGAAACTTCATGACAAAAACTACAACACTAAAAATGCAACACATACAAAAATTTACGATAAATGCAACACAAAGTATAGTAAATTAATAGGTCAATTGCACGAAACAGACCGTAATAACAACAATAACTCCAACACACACAATACTACTAAGAAACTACAAAAAAAGACAAATAATATTATTAGAAGTGAAACATGTGAAGCAGGGCCGAGCCGGCCCTAGGCTTGTCTGCCCAGCCCAACCGCACAGGGCCCAGTATTTTGGAGGGCCCAAAAAAAATTAGTATTACCCCCAGCCCATAAGTTTTTAGCCCAAATCAATTCCCCGAGGCCTCAAATCGGCAAATCCCCCCTTCTCCTGCTCGGCTGCTCGCGGCTCTTCATGACAAAGAGACACCGCCTCTCCACAAGACCACAACCGACGAGGCGACGACTCCAGCCTCTAACGCACACCGCCGGCGCCTCTCCACAACCGACGGCCCCAAATCCCCTGCCGGCCCTGCGCAGTCTGACATCCCCTCGGGCCTCGACCCTCTCCTGCTCTCCACGACTCGAACGCTGAACGCACACCTCACTTCGTAGCAGCCCACAGCCGACCGCCTCCGCCACCCTCCGGCCTCCCTCAGACGCCCTCCTTCCGGTCAGTTGCTAATTTTCTAATTCTTTTATTCATTTAGTTGCTAATTTGCTAATTCTTGTGAACTTTAGATTTATTGAATATTTGAATTGATGAATTGTTTGTTGAAATCTTGTAATTTGTTTATTTTCAGATTTAATGTTTGTTGAATTGTTGTGTTGTTGTTATTTGTTGATTTTTTGCATTTGAAGTAAATCATTATTTGAATTGATAATAAATGTGTAATTTTGTAAACATGTTTAGCAATTAAAATTGATAACTTCAGGTTGATAAATTGGTAACTTGAGGTTGATACATTATAATTATACACTAGTACAGTCATTCATGCTTTCACCCTAATTTTAAACTGAATATTAATTTAAAATTTATAAACATGTACAAGATTATAGGAGAATTTCAATAATTGGTAATAATTATGTTTTCATTAATAAACATGTAAGTTATTAATGACTTTTTTCATTTTAATTATTACGTTTATTAGTAACTTGTATTGTAAGACAAATTGCTTGCGTTTAAACTTGAAAAAAGGCCTAAATTTTATTGTTGCACAGGACCTCCGTTTTCTCGGGACCGGCCCTGGTTCTCATATTATGCTGGATTTCATTGCATACAACCAATGGGTTATTTTCAATATTGTCTTCTCTAGGTATTCACATTTTTGATAAAGTATAGCTAGTTGATGTTTAAACTTAGCAAAAAACAGTACTACATTATTACCAATGGGTTATTTTCAATATTGACTTGTCTAGGTATTTACATTTTGATAAGATATAGCTGGTTGTTGTTTAAACTTAGCAAAAAACACAGTACTACATTATTGCCATATTTTTGAGATTTTTATATGATATAGCTTCAGCCTTTACTTGGTTTTAGCATTTTAATAGTAGAAATGTCAAACATCTCTTGTTTTCTTACATGTAAACTCATAATTCATTGATACTCCGTAGTATTTTGCTAATTTTCTTTAATTCTCTCATGAAATGAAAGAATTAATAAATGTGATTTGAAATATGAAAATTTTTCTTCATATAAGATATAACTTTCACATGTTTCCCTAATTCAATTTTTTTATGGCAAATACAAATTGTAGTACTTTTCCATTAGGCCGGTTTAGTTACATAGTATTCTCGGATGTCACTAACCAAATATTTAAATATAATCTTTCTAACCGTCTCATTTATTAATTTCTTTGATGTGTTATACTCATATTTATATAATAAAATTGCTCAATTTTACTTATAGTTTTTTAAAATAAAAAATATAAACATTCATACATTATCCCTAAGGCCTACTCTATCTATAATGTCCCGGGCCCATAAAATGTCAAGACCGGGCTTGCTCAAGAGTGTCAGACGTCTAATTTTAGTTGCTAGAAACATTAGTTTTTTTTTTTGCAAGCTATTATTCAAATTGCATTATAACTCAGCACTTATATTTTTTACAGCAACCAGGAGGCCTTGTCTCTTTACAACCTCAAAGTTATCTCCTCTTACAATGATAGTTTGGTGACATAATTAATTTAGGAAAAATTGAAAATAATAATCCCAACTATTGCCGGTCCGCAAACAATAATACGAATTATTGATTATTTTTGCATAATCCCAACTATATGGACTGTCCGCCAATAATGATCCATGACCGCATATTACCTGCTCTAACAGTGAATATTTAATAGAAATTAAGCGTAAAAATTAAAATTTGGGATTATTTATAGGGATTACCTGCTATATCTCTTTAGAAACTATAGGAATTTATTTATAATCGGTCACGTCGGACCATTATTGGCGGAAGGTCCCTAATGTTGGAATTATTCTGAAATAATCGATAGTTGGGATTATTATGAGCGTACCGCCAATAGTTGAGATTATTAGAATCAATTTTTCCATTAATTTATTTACTTGCTATTACTTTAATGCATTTTAAAGTGTGCGATATTTTTTACAAGCTATCTTTTTTTTTTAATTAGGGGGAAATGTGTAAGTAAATTCTGTTTCTAAGAAGAAAGATGGGGGCTTTCCTGGATATCTTCGAAAGTTCCAGTTGAAAGTCAGGAATGCGAGGGGGAAAATCCGATCTTGTGCTTCATCTACCGGAGAAACTCTCCCCTAAATCTCTCTTAAAACTCCTAAAATGCGAGAAGAACCCAAGCTCGGCACTCTCCCTGTTTGATATTGCGAGTCAGCATCCCAGGTATGCTCACGATGAGGCCGTCTTTCAGTACATCCTCCGTCGCCTCTCTACCGACCGAAGATTTGTCCCACACCTTTCTCGGATCACTGAGATGATTCGGGCTCAGAAATGCCCATATTCCGAGGATTTAGCTCTCGCTGCTATCAAAGCATACTCCAAAAACTTCATGGTTGATAAAGCGATAGAGGTTTTTCAAAATATGAAGGAGTATTTTGGCTGTCTACCCGGGGTCAGGTCTTACAACAGCATGCTCAATGCTTTCTTGGTTTCAAACCAACTGGATAAAGCAACATTGTTTTTCAAACACTTTGAGGCAATGCCCGTTTCTCCCAACACTGAAACTTACAATATCTTGATTACGATTGCGTGTAAAAGGCGGAAACTTCGCCAGGCGAAAGAGCTTCTGAATTTGATGTGGGATAGGAATTTGAACCCAGATGTGTATAGTTATGGAACATTGATCAATGGACTTGCCAAGAATGGCGATCTGAATGAGGCATCAGAAGTGCTTGAAGAAATGTTTGACAGAGGAGTGATACCAGATGTGATGTGTTACAATATTTTAATGGATGGGCATTTTAAAAAGAGCGACTCCATAGCTGCTAAGCAGATATGGGACAGGTTAATACATAGTGAGTTAGCTTATCCAAATGCAGTTAGTTATAATGTGATGATCAGCGGCCTATCTAGATGTGGGAAATTCAGCGAGGCATTGGAAATATGGAACCGAATGAAGATAAATGAGGTAAAAATGGATGTCTACACATACAGCTCATTAATTCACGGGTTGTGTGAGTCAGGGGATATCAATGGGGCTGAGAGACTCTATAAGGAGATGACTGAGAGTGGGGTATTACCAGATGTTGTCATTTATAATGCATTACTTGATGGGTACTTCAAGTTTAAGAATATTAACTCTTGTTTTGATCTATGGGAGTTAATGGGGAATGAAGACTGTCGAAATGTTTGTAGTTTTAATATATTTATGAGAGGTTTGTTTGAGAAGGGAATGGTGGAGGAAGCCATTTCTGTTTTAGGCCTCTTACATGAAAATGGCTATGCTGCTGACCAAATGACATATGGGATTTTGGTTCACGGGGTTTGCAAAAATTCAAATGTAAACATGGCTCTAAAGGTGCTAAAGAAAACAGAAGAGGGTAAAGGAGAGCCAGATTCTTATATTTATTCGTCTATCATTAAAGGGTTGTGCAGTGAAGGAAGATTATGTGAAGCAGCTAGCATAATTGATCAGATGGGAAAGAGTGGGCGGAAAGTAAACCCATCTATTACAAATGCACTACTTAGTGTTTTAATCCAAGGTAATAAGATTGGTGACGCATTAATTTTTTTTGATGAGCTAGGAAATGGTAAAAATTTCTTAATAAATGTAGTAACCTACAACATCCTTGTTGATGGTTTATGCAAAGCTGAAAGATTTGATGAAGCCTATGACACTGTCAAGGATATGCTTCAAAAAGGGTGGAAGCCAGACGTCATCACATATAGCTTATTAATCAACGGTCTATGCAAATCTGGAAAGTTAGACATGGGAATGAACTTGTGGGGCCTTGTTCTGAAAACAGAGGGTATTAAGCCCGATACAACTATGGGTAATATTATGATTCATGGGCTTTGTTCTGCTGGAAAACTTGAACAAGCAATGCATATGTATCTGAAGATGCAACAGTCGGGTTGTGTACCCAATCTAGTCACACTCAACACTCTCATGGAGGGATTTTACAAAGTTAGGGACAGGCGAAATGCCATCGTGATTTGGGCCCGAATTTTCAGAGGCGGGTTTTTGCCCGATATTATTTCTTACAATATTGCTCTTAAAGGGCTTTCTTTTTGCAATCGTATATCCGATGCCGGATTGTTCTTGAATGATGCTCTGAGTAGGAAGGTGTACCCCACTGTGATTACATGGAACATACTTGTCAGAGCTGTCATTTATAATTGAATTCAGTGTGATAATGTTGGTTTGTCTTCAAGGCCAAAGTAAGTTGTCTTCTTAACTGTCAGTACTTAGGAATTCACCCCTGAGTAACCATTTGTTTTCACAGTTCATTTTCAGTATGAACATATAGAGTATAGATCTAAGTGAGTCAGGATCTATATAGAGCATCAGTTGTATCAACAGCTTTGGTGACGGTAATGATGTCATGTCACCAAATACAATTACTGATGCAAGAGATATGTTACATGATGTATTATTAGCCTTGTGTAATGAGTATCTTATTTGGGGTTATGACTCATGCTATATACATATTTGACATGAAGATTAATCTTCACCCTTTCTCTTCTCTATCTGTTTGACTTATTTCCTATGTCATTGTTTGGTATTAGTAGATGATTTGATGTGGTAAAGTTGATTTATCGAGCATGTACTGAACTTGTTTTCTCTTATGAGATAAACTACTCGGCTAATTTTATAACTATCATGTCATGTGTTAATTTGAGTTTGTGATAATTGCTCTTTCCTAAATGTCAAGTTACTTGCTATGCAAATGCTGCTCTACATGTACAAGCTTTCCACTACAGGCTGTTTTACTGTATATGCATTTTTTCAAAGTTTACCATCTAAAACACATAACCTGTACATCTGAATTACTACCATCAGATATTTGCTTTCATCCAAATTCTCAGCGTGGTTTTCTGCTTCAACATGGAACATACATTTTCTTTGTGGTAATCAACAGAAAGCATCAGTTGTATTAATGACTTTGATGGCGGCAGTTATGTCATCAAAACACAATCCCTGATGCCAGAGAGATGTGGCATGCTTTATCAGCCTCAAGTAATGAGACACTCTACTTGGGGTTATTACTCATGCTATATTAATAAATACGGAGTATATTAACTACTTTTATTCATTTCAAATGATAATTCTCTTTTGTGCACATGACCCATGTTTGACTTCTATTTGCACTAATTTTTTGACATATACTACCTCCGTCCCATTAAAAATCGGGACATGAAGTTTGACACAGTTCTTTTGAAGGAAAAATAGAGCTATGGTTGATATTGAATTGTAAAAGTAAGAATGTTTGTGAGTCATGAAATATGGTCAATTTGGTATGTGACAAACATTTTTGGACGAACCCCCATAAAAAAAATTGTTGGGACATATAAAATGGGATGGAAGGAGCAGCTGATAAGAGGATCAATATTTCACATGTTTTGTTCTTTTGATTTCTTTTCTCTTGCTATATCTGATATCAGTCTTTGTTCATAGATGATTTGGGAAATCAAACCAACCAAAATGAATCCAAGAATTGTGGGCTTTTGCCAGTAGGAGAGTGAAGAGTTAATGGCATCAATAATTCCAACTCCTACCACGCCAACGAGAACCAGGTATACATTTCTTCGAGGTCTTGACCCTGCTGCATTTTCTATGCCAACTTTCTGGATCTTCTCCAACTCTTCTTTTACTTTTTCCTTGTTCTCAAACACAGGTTTTCTTTGCGTTAGACTTTTAAAGAACAATCCTTCGTTTCTTTCCCTCTCTATTTGATCTTCAAACCCTGCTAACTGCTCTCATTCTCTTCAATCTCCTGCCTGTCAACCCCTTCAGATTCTTCAAAATCTTGCATCTGGTTCTCGATATTCTCCATAATCTAGCAAAAAAAACACCAAATAATTAGTTTAACATATTCATTGTGAAACATGAGAAAAAAATATATTCATTGTGAAACATGATAAAACATTATATTCATAAACCGATAAACTGCACCCATAATATGGATATAATGAAATTTTGTTTTTAGCTTTAATTAACTGCACATAGAGAGGTAAACATTATGGATATATATGGAATTGCTCCTTTTGAAATTTCATCACATTTTTGAACCTTGTACTTTATAATCTTTCACAAGTTTCTTATACGGAGTAGCTGTTTTTGAGATGTTGGAATCTAAGAGGTTTTTATTGTTATAATGTTTTATTATTCTTTCACATGTTATATTGTTATCACATCATTATAAATTTATGAACGCCAACGATTTGTTCCTTCCTAATTGAGTTTATTATTTCCAAAACTAATTTGATTATAATCAATTACAATAACGATGAATCAGTCAATCACAAATTATTAAATATCCTAATATTTTCAGATATTAGAAGCACACTTTTAAAGGATATGGAAACGATAAACGTGGGAACGAGTGATATCTGAGAAGAGAGGGACACGGACCCTTGCACTGGCTTGATCGAGCACTTTCAGTGCATTTTCTCCAATCTGATCAATCCCAGCATTAGCTTCCTCAGCAAATTGGGTAAGGTAGGCTGCTCTCTCGTCCAAGAACTCAGTGAGGCGGACTTTCTGGGTCTGAAGCATTACAATTCTGGCATGCAGTTCCTGCTGACGACTATCTCCTTCAGGAACTGAATCGGTGGACTTCTTGCAGAAGGAGAGGATGTGGGGGTGCCTCTTCCTCTTGAGTCCGGGAAGAAGAACAGGTCGGCGGGTGAGAGTCAAGGAGGAAGAGTGTATTGGTATTGCTTCAAGGTGAATCATTTTGTCCCCCCTTCTGTAATTTGTTTTTATTGATTTGATCGATCGATTTAGGGTTGCCGGAAAGGAAAGATGGAGAAGAAGAAAGGGTAATAGTTACTGTTTATTGAGTATCAATCTATGTTTATTGAGCATCAAGACTATTCTATCGAGTATTAGAAGTCTATCATGGAAGATCTTCTAATTTACTTTTTTTTTCTTATTTGTTCTTTTATTCTTTTTTTTAAATTATACTTCCTCTGTATTTTAAAGTTCCCTACATTAGCTTTGGACACACAATTTAAGATGAAATAGCAGGGATAAAGTAAAGTGATAAAGTAGGAAAGAAAAGAAAGGGAAAAGGGGCAAATAAGGTCACGTACTAACCAAAAAAGATCAAATAAGGCCTTATTTATGAGGCTCTGTCCGGCCATCGCCATTTGGGGTGGTTTTCGATGGAATTTTTTGATGAATGTTTTTTGACCATCTTATTCATTAAGTCTAGTGTACTCATACCGAATTTTAGATAAAAATTTAATCTAGAAGGCATTCAAATGAATTCTTGAAGATAACTGCGCTTTTAACTGCGCAATTATCTTCAAGAATTCATTTGAATGACTTCCCGATTGAAGTTTTAGCTTAAATTTGGTATGAGTAAACTAGACTTACTGAATAAGATGCTCCAAAAATTTCATCAAAAAATTCCAGCGAGAACCAACCCAAATGGCGAAGGCCGGACAGAGACTCATAAATAAGGCCTTATTTGAACTTTTTGTGTTAGTACGTGGTCTTATTTGCCCCTTTTCCCGAAAAGAAATGATAAAGTAGAATATAAAGGATAAAGTATGTGACAGAATGTAATTAAAAGAGTAGTGGGGTAGGATATAATTGAATGAGAGTAAAAAGATAAGGGTAATAATGTATTTTCATACATAAAACTTTCCTTAATGAGAAAGTGTAAGGAACTTTTTAATACAACCCAAAAAGTGTAGGGATCTTTTAAATACGGAGGAAGTATTTATAATCAACTCATATGAATTTCAAAATGTGAATCTAATTTAGTATTTAATTTTGAAATATAATTTGATACGAATATATATCATAAACTCTCCTAGTTGAATATCAAGACATTTTCATCAAGCTTCCTCTGTTGAGCATTGGAAGTCTACAATTGAGTATACAATTTTTCGAAACCTCATGTGAACATCAAAACATTTCCATTAAGTATCTTGTTATCTACTAATTATCATCAATACTATGTGTATTGAGCATTGAAAGTCTCAATTGAATATAAAAATTTCAAAAAAAATTCGAACATCAAAACATCTTCATTGAGTATCGTGTTCTCTATTATTAAGGATTGAGATTATGTGAGCAAGCTTCAACTGATCACATGAGTTTCATCGGATATGACATTTTAATTAATCATTAATCATCTTCTATTGAGTATTGCAACTCTGCAGTTGAGTATTGTGATCTGTGCTAACATGCCTTCTAATTCACTTTCTTGTGAGATAAAAAGTGGGACCCATATGTAAGGGTTTGTAAGAGACCACACCCTTACATATCACTACAAGAAAAAGCATCAATTCGGTCCAAAGTTTTTGCGTCTAACAAATTGAACGCTAATAATGTCATTTGCGCTAAATATTCAAGAAATTACAAACATTCAACCGTCTGTGATCTATGTTACTTTAGGTTCCATGTAATTGGTAATAAAATAAAGTAACAAAAAATAATTAATATAAACTATTATTTGTACTAAAAATCTTAACATGTACAGATAGATTAGTTTCTATAATTTAAAAATTACAATCATATTCATCTCGGTTACCATCTCCTCCATATAGTCTTTACAATCATGTACATCTTACCAATGGTTAGTTGGTTACCATCATAATACACCAGATTTACAACTCTATTCTCATTATAGCATGGAAAAATTGAAAATACAATTTCAAATATTGTCAGTCTATCGACAATAATCCAAATTGTTGATGAGTTTTTTTTTTTCCAAAAAATATTAATCCATCCATATTTTAAAGTTTGCTACATTATTCTTTTTGAAATGTATTTTAAAGTCTTCAACACCTTTTTTGGCAAATTTTCCTTTAAAAAATACTCAATCACTCTTCCTTTTTCTACTTTTAAATTTTTTATCTTTTCTTTCATATTTTCGCAACTTTTCTCCTATTTTTTTGCACTATTCATTATCCCTACTATTTTTGTTTTGAAATAGTGGGTCAAAGCTTATGTAGAAATCTCTAAAATAGGGAAGTACTAAAATAAAACTTATTTACACAAACATGACTAATAGTTACTACAATATAGTGTCATGATCACTTATGTTTAAAAATTAGAAATTGCCCTAAATAGGAGTAAAAAAGTTTTGAAATTTCAAAATATGAGTATCATGTTTTTTATACCCTGAATAGGAGTAATTTGCCAAGTTTGGAAAAAATGTCATGTTTTAAAGCCTAGTAATGCCAAACTTGGCAGAAATGTACTCCTATTTAGGGAATAAAAAACATGATACTCCTATTTTGGAATTTCAAAACCTTTTTAGTCATATTTAGGGAATTCTCTCTTTAAAAATTAAACATAAGTGACGATGATCCAAATTATTGATGGATTTTTTCTCCCAAAAGTAATACTAAAATAAAACTTATTTACACAAATATGGCTAATAATTACTACAACATAGTGTCATTTAATTATTTCACTAATATGGTGAAAGTTTAAAATGTTGTGATTATTTTTTGTACTAATTTATGGATGTTTTAGGACTCATTCTTTATCTTGGTCGGGCAATCAGGAAATAGCCAGCTAATGAAGCCATGGCAACCCCATATTCTTTTTCTTAGTGAAAACGTGCTCCTAAGGGTTCTTGGTTCATATAATCCTCCTTTTCCACCACTCCTAGGGCTGTTGGCATTTTCTTTGGCTATTTTATTTTAGTCAATAACTCAAAAGGTGCACTGAAACTTTTAAAATGCAATGAGGTTGCTAACTGGCCCTTGGGAACAACGAGTTAACTTTTTCTGGGTGAGTTATGTTTGGTGTACTATATAGTGCTTTTTCTTAAAAAATATTGAACTAGGTGATTCCCAAATTTAAAAGCAGGCAATTATAGTTGACAATGGCTTCAGTTTTTCATCCCTTTTGGTTCTTTTGAACCCCTAACAATGTATTTATTTCTCTGTATATACTATTTTTTGGTCTAAAGGTTCATTCTTTGATGGGTGAGAATCTTGTCTGTTTTTAGCTTCCTTTAATAGCAACTGGAAAAGAGGTTTATCAAAATCAAAGGCTTAAATAATATAAAATGAGCAGAGAAAAACGTGGGGAAAACGCAGCAAAAAATGCAGGCATAACATTTGGAAAATGCAGCAAAGAAAAATCTCAAGCTAACCTACGTAAACCACAACGACGGAGTACTTCTAATGTCCCTAAATAGTGAAGAAGTTAGATCTATGTGCATATAGTTCACAGTAATATGTGGATTCACGAACAGTTATAAAAGTATTCTAATAGGCATTTAAACAAACTGGATGTAGTTCATATGCAAAAAGCTTCTACTATTTTTGAGTTTGTCTTCAAGTGGATGACCACAAAACAACTTTCAGGTTCGTACCTAAAAGTCTAAAACAAAGTGTTGAATTCGACCCCCCAAACAAAATCATACATCAAGTTTAATCGATCATTAGAGACTTGTGAAAAGCACACTAAAAATTACCTAGAATCTCAAACAAGGAGGAAAGCTGAATAGTAAATTGCGGAAGCCTCATCCTTTTGTCTTTTGAAACTATATATAAGACTGGAGATGCACAGGAACAGTTAAAGGACATATGAACTTCAGCAACGACTCATGGAAGAAGAAAGATTTCAAAGAGTTTCGCAGAATGCCATCTTAATTGTGGAGTAATGGAGTAATAATTTGCCCGTAGAAAGAGACCAAGAGTTTCGCCCATTGGGTAGAACACTCGCAGACGGACGGACGAAAAACATTAACATCGTGGCTTAGTAAACATAACACCGTCAACAAAGCAATACAACAGCAGTATTGTGTAGCAGAGTTGTTTGACATCTTTGACATCATTTAATACACAAACCGGCCTTTATAAGATAGGTTAAGATTATTGATTATTTCTATACAATCTGAAGTATATGCCTTGTTCGCCAGTAATAGTCCATGACCGTGTATAATCTGCTATGTAGGTCACTTTTAAATAGAAGTTTTGTGTATTTTATAAATAATCCAAATTATACTCATTATTCTTTTAATAATCCCAATCATGAAGTCATTTATTTTACAAAGCGTAATTTTTTTTTAGAAAAGTTCAAAATTAGGATTTTATGATATACTCCGTATAAATTTAACTTAATCTAAAAACATACGCATTTTAAAAACAAAAATATTACATTTTATTCCAACTTTCTTAAAAAAGTAATTTATGTGTTTTTGTAAATATTTATTTTGGGGTTTTTGTAAATTCATAATTTCGTACTGATTTTGTAATTACTTCTAAAATGATTCGATATTTTAATTAGGATGATTAACTTTTATTTTTTAAATGTTTAGATAAATCATTATTTTCAATTTTAATCCCTTAAAGTTTTTATATTGACATTTTTACTCTCTTTATATATATATACATTATATTCCTTATATACTCTCTTTATATATTTTAATTTTGCTTATGGTCCCTAAAATTAGATTATTCTGAAATAATCAATAGTTGAGATTGTTATGAACGAACCAATGATAGTTGAGATTATTATTACCAATTATGTAGCATGTTATTACCAGTGTTAGCATTAAAATATCTGAAAATCACCTCTTCGAATGCATTGTCCCTACAAATCAACATTTATTTTTATATTGTCATATGTAACTCACCTTTTCATATTGGCAATAACATATATTAACATAAAACCATTAACTTCAATTTGAAATTGATAATAAAAAATTTACCATGCATGTACATATAGAATAGTTTCTATATTTTAGAAATCACAACTATATGTCATGTATGTATTAATTTTCACCTGGTAATAACATAATTTATTAAGTGACACTAAAAGAAACATACCATGCACGTAAATATATCGGTCATTATATTCTTAAAATTATAACCATGCTCTATCATATTACTTTATACTCCATGTAATTTGTAATAGTATAAATCTACA